TCAAGAAAATCACAAGTAGTTTTAACGTGGGTCATGTTCCAAACGTGATTGCAATTCAAGGAAATTTTCATGGGAATCTCATAACTTCAAATACCGACCAAGAACCAGGTATAAAGCAGCGGAGGAATAACTACGGTCAATGGATATGAAGTCCCAAAGTACCAGGTAGTGTACGAATGATTATGTTAAAAAAGAAACTTTATACAATACGAGGCGAAACAGATGACCAAGTCGAATTGTAATTGAAGTGAAGAGAAAGCGGAAAAAAGATAATTTTAGCATTAGTATTCCTGATACAATGGGACATCGAAAAACCTAACACAAGGGGTAGCCGGCACATGATGACATGCAGTCTCCACTTCCGCCTACTAAGGCTGAGAATGAAATACCAACTGTCACACCAACAGATGACTGTTTCGTACCTTAATGGAGGTACACTGAACAGTCAAATAGCCACTCTGGGTCAGAAAGGTATACCGACACCTTGGTTGAATTTGATTATGAGATATATGACAAAAACCTGACGTCGCTTCACTGAACACTTTTTGTTGAAGACAACCTTGGAGAAGCACAGTAGAATAGGTAACGTTCAACCCATCTATTTTTCACAACACTAAAGAAGTTCTTTCCATCTATTTATTGCACAATAATCACGTTATGAGGGGAGAAGTGCTGCGCTTCTGGCACTCGGATCACAAATTTGGAGTTTAATTACGCTCTTCAATACAGTGCAATATCTACCTTGGGCTACTAATGCTAATAAATAAATTGCAAATATCAACAGTGGATCAGAAGGTGATCCCCGGGATAATTTCCGTCACACAAAATTACTGCTATTGCTCTCATCAAAACATAAAGGTATGCTTTTGCTAGGAAAACTGCTTACCAGTTTGGTGTGAAGGCCTTCGTGGGTGTGGCAAGAGTACATCAAAAATTCTTCAACAAGAAATGTCCTATTATTGATTCTCATAACTAGGGCGAGTACATGTTAAAATTGTTTTGTTCCCCACGTTAGAAAAAAATACCGGAATTGCAGTAAGCTAGCTCACAGACCTCGTCTTATTAAAAAATGCGAAAACAAATGTTGAGAAATGTTTGCTCCAACTTCTCTTAAATCAACTCTATTTCAGCATTCGCTTTGTGGTTTTCCTGAGTCACAGCCGGTGCCATGAATTGAAACAAACAAAACACGAGCTTCAAAGATGCCCCACAAAAACACAAATTCAGAACATGTACCATTAGTTGTGAAGTTAGTCAGTGGAAGCGCTGCTGCGGTTTTAATGAGCAAAATTGCATGACACATCTCTATTGAGTGTGAATACCTAATACTAGGACCTGGGCTCAGCTACTTTGTTTCATGCAAGTAATATTTCGGGTTCACCAAATATATGCTTGACAAGTGCTCATTCAAATCTACTTTTGTGTCTGCCACCAGTGAGAGAAACCCTTGGAGTTTCCCACTGTTACTTATAAAGCTACTTTTGTGTCGAGACTACTACGATTGACAGCTTTATTGTTTTTGATACTATGAAGTGATTTATTTGTCACATAGAAGCTAACCAAGTGATTCCTACACAAAAATGAGCCTAATATCCTCACGACTGATCACGTGAAAATCAAATGAACAATTTTGTTACTGTTTATTTTCCGATTTCTTTGACTGATCTAGTTGTCAGGATGTATGATTACCAACACTCCTGTAAGCCACTTTAGTTGAGCCAAAGTATTTAGAATTTGGAGGGAATATAACGTGTCACCGTAATGTACAGGTCAGAAGTTCGGTTTACTTAGTATTCATTAACCTGAATGTAAAAGAGAAGTTTAAAAAATGATAAAGAGATACTTGGATAGACCCGAAACATCCATTTTCGCAGGCACGCAAAAAATGGCCTTCTGGTGTGGCGGTACAATGCCAGTAATAATCAGCAGGTGTACTTTTACTTCCAATACCGGCCAGCAGAATATGCCATGGATCATACCACCAATCAAGATGGCAGGTAAAAGTGCTAGTTTGTGCATGTGCACCTGGACGGAGCGAAGTGTGGTAAAGAAGTACATTATAAACCAAGGTCTTCAACCCCGATGCGCAGATATCTACTAATGCAGTAGATATCAAGTACAGTATGCGTGGCAACAATAATCTCAGATAGGTCAACGGTAGGACATTGATCGAATAATTCCAGCGTTTCGAGGAGAGGCGATCTCCCACTTGGAGAAGATGGTTTTGATTGTCTTGGCCAGAGTCGTGACATTCATTCTTGTGAATATCTAGTCAGCATTGATAACACCTCCTCGATCTTGGGAGCCTGATCAACCCAAAATCAGTCGTGTAACTACACAAGAGACAAATAATTCTAATGACAACGGTAAACAGAAACGTCCACGAACATTTGCAGTTCCAAAAAGTTGGCGCACACGAGGTACCAAAATGAAGTGAGGTGGGTCTGCCTTAAGAGGGTTTAGAAATCCAGGTTCCCAAGTATCAATAAAGACTTGGAATAAGTATGTAAATAAAATACGATTGTTGCGTTTATGAGCTCAAGCCTCTGTTTCACTAAACACAGCTAGTAGAAAAACTTGATATAGGTCAAGAGCATAGATGCACTTTTTTGGAAAGTTTTAAGACTAACAAAAACCATCGGTATACATTAAGCCCTCTAACTTTTCCGTACGTTTACGATAGCCTTGTTTGATTACTTTGATCAAATGGTTTAATAACTCATACGAAAGCTTCTTCTAAAGCCCTTCTGGTGAATTTAGCCAAAACTTACATGAACATTATCGCGGTTAGAAATAGCAAAACTAGAAATGCTTTAATCTCTAACTTAAAGTGAAACACACTGTATCCCCAAGACTTTTTCGCCCCTTTTGTTAGAAAAGAACTTGGAAAAAGCCTGCAGGGGCAAATAATTAATGCTTCGTCAATGGGGGAGGAAGAGAGAACGACTTCTTAATGCACGATTTTTTTTCATATCTTTGAGCACATCTCTCTTTGTCTTTTGGCCTAAAGCTTTAAGTAAATAATAGATAGAAAAGAAATACCTTTGGAGGTCTCTTACTGGATTTTGGAACACGAAATTCCGGTGTTTATACGGTGCTATCAATCTAGCATGCCTAGTTAACTAGTGGAGCTAGGAGTAAATAAGTGGTGGTGCAGAATCGCAAATAACAAATCAAAAAACGAATAACTTGTTTAATCAGAAGAAGACGTGACTGGGTCAGGGCAGGAAAGTAATTCATTGTACAGTACTTTGATTAATAGCCTGAACTAGAATCTCCTTTCCAGCAGACAATTTAAATAGGTCTTTTGGTAAAAAACAAACTAGTCACGTAACATGAAATGAAACCTTGAGTTGAGACCACGGAAGTGGTGAATAAGGGAAAGGAATTAAAAGCAAATAAGATGTGAGAAAGCGACAAATTCATCCGGCCCTATCAAATGCCATGTTCTGACTACTATTTGCCATAGTGATGCAAATACCTTGTTCACCTTTACTTTAAGTTTAAGCAATATAATCATTTAATTCGCTGTTGCAGACATCACAGTCAACCTTTAAGGGTTTTGTTGTTCCATTGTTATCTCATTCAGCATTGTCATATCAATTATGTATCGAAATGATTGTGTAGATATCACTACATCTATCTCCTCGTGGCTATCTATGAGACAAACGCATTCACTAAATGTCGCGTTTTCTGCAACATGCAATAATTTTTACTAAAGAAAGCTTGGGAAAATTTGCAAACGCGTGTAGACCTTAATTAAGGGATTTAAGTTAACTTTAGCAATGGATTCCGAATAAAATATTTCCGTTTAAACACACCCTAGAATTTATTGCAAGAAAGCACACAAAGAGCCTAAAATAATAGTCTCTAGGGCGAAGACACTCGCTTTAAACATAACAACTAATTTCCTTACGAGTGCGCATCAAAATGGGTGACATATATTACGTCAAATCGTATCCCAAGCAGATTAGTTGCATTCAAAACTGTACAATAGATGTAGGATGTTCCTCACCTGAGGGCAACTACGCTTTTGGTGTTTGAATAGGAGCTCAAATGGTCAGTTACATAACTCCAAGTTCAGCGTTACCTGAGCCGTTGTGACCGCTTTTATTCAGAACCGTGCTAAGTTTGATATTTATCTATATTGATTCTTCAGTATCTGCAAATTCAACCACTACCATGGCGTCACTGCCTTTCCTCCATGCTATTTCTGCTAATGCCTAACTGACCCTTCTTTTCCAATCAAACCCTCAGATCTAACTGAGTCTCACGAGAGGACTAAGGCGCTACAAATTATCAGGTCGCTTTCGACTTTCCCGATCAACTTCGCGTCCCATACGAAATGCATAAATGTGAATGTGCCTTCCATTCGATTAAGTCCGTAAATTTTTTCTATGGATTACAAAAGCTGCCCCTACCTTAAAGTATAATCTTACCAACTGCAACACATTGGTTTATTTAAAAAATAACGGTCTTAATAAGTAGAAGACTAATCAGTTTGCTTATTTTCTTGCTTCTTTTTTCACTTTAACTTGCATTGAGGTTGTATTCCATTCAAAATTTCCACCTCAAATGAAAAACTCGAAAAAAAGTTTAAACACCAGACAGATCTGCCAAGTATTGTATTCGAAAATGTGTAAATAAACTGTCACTGCAAAATGTGAAATTAGGAAGTTTCGATTGATTTGAGACTAGTAACTGGCTATTTGAATCTGACTCAGCCTCAGAATCTAGTACAAGCACATTGCTGCTCCGAATTTTATGGCATTGCTCCGCAAAAAATCGATACGTTAGTTGTCCATCTCATCTACTTTGAGGTATTATTCTGGCCCCAATTACCTATACGTAAAAACGAGCTAAGAAAACAGACTGTAGTCAGAGTGTCCTGCAAATATGCAGCTTTGACCAGACAAGAAGATAGGCTTATCAAAGTTGGAGCTTAAAGTACTCAATTGTTTGCCTCCCGGTGAACTAAACGCGATAAGTTGGATTAATTGGATGAGGAAGCACGGTTTCCGCCACCTGTGAAAAAAATGGTGAATAAAAATAGGGTTTTTCATAGACTGACGATGATAGAATATTGGGCAGGCATTTGCGGCCTCATGAAAATTTGTTAATTCCATTTGTGCATACGTTGATGGATGGATAAATGGGCGAAAACATCACATTAGTAGTACTTCGATTGCCCTTTAGAAGTCAAAAGTATTTTTTTAACATTCCTTTCGAAAAAGATCTCACTCAATCATGGATTAATCTAAGAGCCATATTAATGTCTAATATAAACTTAGTCCTGGAATCAAAGTAACTGCATAGGCAGCAATTTAAAACAATAGAAAAGGAAGAACTTATCCAGTAACAACAGTAGCTATGAATGAAAGGAAGTCGTTGCTTTGCGTAAAAATATCGTTTGGCAACAGCCAAGTTCGACGCAGATACCGCTTCAACTGATATGCATAGTCAGGTGGATGTTACTGTATGAATTAAAAGTCCAAGAAAGAATGTGACATACCCTGAAGGCCTCTAGCATTTCAGCATCAGGGCAGTTAGCCGTCTTCTCAGAGTATCGGTTCATCATTCGAATAAATTCATTGTACTCCACTGTGCCATTACCTAGAAGTAAAACAATAAGCATGAAATGACTCCAGGCAACGGATGGGTAAACCTTTATCAAAGATCCTGAATTAGAGATTTAACCAGGCTTGCAAATTTTGCAAGTACTAGCCTAACAAATAGATATATATTGCAAGGGCTTACATGCAAAAATCAGTATTAATGCCTTAAAAGTGCATACCGGATAGTATGTTGATTTGTTGGTTTTAAAGACACTTTGTTAGCTGGATCAGAAAATATGTTTGAGCATAAAAATCAGAGCG